GGACGACATTCCACGCGCATTTGACCTGATATTACGAATCGAAACCGATATCAATAATTCGACAAGCGTGCACGTGGTCAGTCGTACGAGTTTCGTAGATACGGGTAATCCGTGGCGATTCAAACGGTGTGCCGACATTTTTAAACGAAATTCACGGACCCGGGAATCAAACCGCATTCAAACGATTACCAGCCGATACGCCACTCGTAAAAAGTGAAACGGGAATCGCGCGTTTGTTCCGCGCAGAGGAGAGACTCTGCTGGCTGCTCGTTCACGATCAAGACAGCGGGGCTTTAAACTCGCGAGGAACTCTCCATTCAATTTCCCCCTTTGCGAATTTTATTACGACGTCGTCTATAGTAAAGTATTTCATCGAGCCGGTTGAAATCGACGAAGTAAGGCGGACGACGAAAGCATAAAGACGACGACGCGATACGTTCCGACGTATGTCGGCCGGAATATGGATGCGCGCGCGTTGTCCCCGCACGAGCCGGAACGAGGTCGTGTTTATCGTGCCGAATAAATGTTTGACGAATCGGGACGCGGCTGGAGAAGGAGAGAGAGAGAGAGAGAGAGAGAGAGAGAGAGAGAGAGGGAAGATCACCATCTGTGCCGTGACTAAAGCGAAAAGCCACAGGATGTAAAGTCGGAAAGTGGAGGAGTAGCTTGCTGGAAGAAGAAGAAGAAAAAGAATAAGAAGAGAGACGAGACAGGTGAAAGGATAGAGGCGAGCACAAACGTTGGATAACCGATCGATTTCACGGATAGCGCGCGATGTGGTCCCGGAGGCCGGTGGAAGGCAGAAAACGGATCGCACGAGACTCGTCTATTCTCGGTACGATACGTCCGCTTCCGATTCGCGTTTTCGAAGGCACGAAAGTTCCGTTTTCCTCGACGCTCGTTAATATCGGCCGACGCGTAACGAGCATTACGTGAGTCGAATCGGGGCTCATCCTTTTGCCCTTCGTTTCTCCGAGATCGAGAAGAGAAAGAGAAAGAGAGAGAGAGAGAGAGAGAGAGAATGGCTATTAATCCGACTCGGTCCAATGGCTCTCCGATATCGACAAAGAAATTTCTCCGTGGACAAAAGCGAGCGTGTCTTTTCACCCTCTCCCGCCCCGGGGCCATTCCTCCTCTCGGATACGCTCGCGTGACACTTATTGGAGTAGCAGGAATTAAGTGGATTTAGCGGGCAGACTCGTATATTTTTGCTCCCGGGCTCTCGACTTTTAATTTTCCCTCTCATTCGCCCCTTTGCTCCGTTAACGTTACGTAACGCCACACTTAATTTCGCTATCTGAAAATTTTAAATCGCGGCCCTCGGTTCTTGACATTTATTTAACTCGCCCTCTCTCCGCAGCCGCGCGTCTGGCCAGGGACCGAGCCCCGGAAAGAAGGGAAGAACAGACCGAAAGAGAGGAGGAGAAACTGCGATTACCTCTCGAGCTACCCCGGGGTTCCGCGGCAAACTAATCGACGACCAACGGGGGCGATTAAGCGCTTTATCAGCGAAAGATCGTCTTCCCGTCGACGCAACGCTCTCCCTTGGATGTCCGCCTTTTCCAAACGATCCGCGATAATCCGTCGTCGAACGCCACGCGAAATTTACGCGATTTCCAATCCCGTGATGATTGTATGCAATACCCAATTTTTCGAAAAAGAAAAAACAAATATTGTCACAGTAAAGATGCGATGGTCAATTGTTCATATATACTATTACTTAAAATTTCCGGTGTTTCTCGGGAATATCAGAAAAATGCTAGCCGCGTTAACGAATCGTCGACATTCTTAGCTTTCAAATGGGATAGGATATTGAATATTTATCACAAAATATTCCGTTGAATGAAAGCAAGTGAAGCGCATTCTTCATTAGTTAGACACGTAACTTTAAATTTAAAATTCCTTCGCGTCACTTGGATCATTGTAATAACATTCATGGAAATAGAAATGTCAGTCACCGTGACAGACAGTGTGTTAAGCAACGACGTGACTGTAACGTGATTCTCTATTTTTGTGCCAATTTTTGTAATATATTGCACTTAGCAAAAACGTTCTGATCGCATTATTGAAAATCTGGTGTTGGCTGGTGACAATCGTTCTTTCCTCAATCAGTCGAATCGTGTTAATTCACTCCTCCGTGAAGACGATGTTCCCGCGGTTACCTTCGAAAATCGTGTTTCGTCTCGGAAAGAAACTTCGAACGTGAACGAGGAATCGAAGTCTTGGAAGAACGCTTTCTTGGAATCTTTTTTCATCTCCTTCGCTTCTTTCAAAAAAAAAAATAAAATAAAATAAAATAAAATAAAATAAAATAAAGGAAAAGAAAGAAAGTTGAGCTTTCCTAGACAGTGATCTTCCTCTTCTACGGCGCGACGACGCATTTTCAAGAAATGTAGCACGCGCGAAACAGCAGAAAACGAGTCACGTTTCATCGGGACGCATCGCTCGACGTAACGACGTGCCGCGTTTCTCGCTGAATCGCAGACACGCGTCCCTCTCTCTCTCTCTCTCTCTCTCTCTCTCTCTCTGCCTCTCGTCCGTGCTTCAAGCGACCTAAATCGTTCGGTCGAAGAGCCGCGTTCACCGGACGAAATAACCTTCGAAGATAATGCGATTCCCGACTCCCGATCGCGCTCGCCCCTTGTTTTCTCCGCAACTTTTCTCCGCCGGACGTAAATCGATTTATCGATGAAGGACCTTCTCCGGAGCCGTACAACCGAGTCTCGCCGCATCGCGAGAATAAAGAGTCGAACGTTTTCACCAGCGATCGCTGGAGAACTTGCCGCAACGCGTTCACCTCGGTCGCGAGATTCTGTCGAGTTCCTCCGCCGAGACGCGTGCAGAGAGAATTATTCGTAACGATGAAGCAAAAAAGAGCAGCGTGTAGGGTAAATGGATTATCAGTGTCGCGATTCCATCTATTGCGGGTCTTCCTTTTCCGTGCTGGCGCGCCTCCGGTCGACGTTGCCCCCGCGGTACACAGAGCACGGATGAATCGCGATCGGATGTCTACTCGATCGTAACGTTTCACGCCAAGCTAGCAATAGCAGTATTTTTTGTTTAATTATTATAATTTGAAGAAGCTAAAAAAAGAAATAGACAACAGAGAATCCTTCTAGAATCATCTTGTAATATTATAATATTTATTTCGTAAATTCTTTTTATTATTTATTTAACCGTTGGACAGGATAGTCTTCCACTGATAGCTTGAGTGCATCAAGTATTTAGGAAATCTTCGAAATTACATTTTATACTCTACATAACTAGAGTATAAAAATTGAATATTCCAACTATTCAAGTAACAATTATTCAAATAATTATTATTCTCGCCGACGTGCATTGGTTTTGCAGTTGTAAATAATCCGATACTTCTCTGTCGATCGCAGAAATAGAGAGAGAGAGAGAGAGAGGAGCCCTTTAACAGATCTGAATCATCGCGTTTCATTCGCAAGATTGAATCTCTCCCTCCACGATCCAATTCGTTTACAACGAATCGAACGGCCGAATAGCCGCTTCGAATTTTTCCGAAACTTAGCTCTTCGACGCGCGTGCACACGCGGCCGGTTCGCTCTAGCCGGTTTCCCAGACACCGTTTCAAATTATTCTTCATAGACAGAATATTACGCTATTAGGCGGGTAAGAGGCTTACGCGCTTATATCGATTTATTGCCATAGTTGCCGCCGGTGCCGGCTCTACGTACGGAAAGTTATTTCGGCGAGATAGATGGTACAGCGCGCGGACTTGCTCCCGCCGTTAAGTAGAAAAGGTACGTCGCTGATCCGACGTTATTCGGACACGCGTGTCTGTCGCCTGTCTCCTACGCCCCTCCCCCGATGAATACGCTCCTCCGTGTTTCGCTGACAATTTCGACAACGTCGTCTTGCCCCCCGGACAATTTATCGATATCGATAATAATTCGCTGCGAGTGTTTCATCGAACTGAAGAATAATAAAATAAAAATAGCTTGTGTGCTACGCATAATTTGTATACACATATATAATATTATAATAATATAGTTTGTGTATATATATATATTTTTTTTTTTTAAATTATTTAAAAATTTCATCAAACCCTAACGAGAGACGATTGTTCGAATACTTTCGTCAGCAACTATACATGAAATGCACGTTTCTTCTGAAATTTCATTCAAATGTGAATTTACATAAATCGTAATCGGACGGCAAATTTAGACTAAATTTCTCCCACTCGTTAAGACTTTCTATAGTAAACGCGTCAATGTGCAACAACGAGCGTTAACGATCAATCGTCCGACTACAAAATCATCTTTGATTTCGCGCAGGTTCTTCTGACGCAGTTTGCTCGAACTGTGCGCGCTTACGCGTCCTCGAAGAAACGACGAAGTGACCAGCGTCACCAGGTTCTAACATCGTCACGTGGATTTTGTTTCAGCACCGGCAGTCCAATCACCAGCAGGTGCTGCTGCAGGACGTCAGCCTGCACAGCAGCGGACAATACAAGTGCGAGGTGAGCGCGGAGGCACCAAGCTTCAACTCGGTCAGCGCAGAAGCCAGCATGGAAGTCGTAGGTGGGCGAACCTGTCTGCGTCAACTCTCTCTCCCTCTCTCCCTCTCTCTCTCTCTCCTACTCCTGCATCTCTTCTCCCGTCTCGCTTGGAATCCAGTTTCGGCTCCGCTAATTAATAATCCTTTGATCGTGGTTATCGAGTCTGCTGTAATTTGCGCGCGAGGTTGTTTTTCCCGTCGTTTTCCGACGCTTCGCTTTCTCTCTCGTCTGCCGCTCTGTTCTTCCGCAAACAACGAGAAGGATGAGAATCAGCCGGTCAAATATTTTCGAACGCGGCGGCGAACGTCAACGACGGTGGCGGAATCGATCGAGCCAAAAATGGGCTGTCAACCTCTGCAGGTTTTAGGACTGTAGGTCGCGCGCGGACGATCGGAACGCGTGCTGAAATGGAAAGGAGAATGGCCAGGAGACACGTTAGACCGCGGGAAGCAGTCGTCTGGCTTCGGCTTTAACGCTCGCGCGCTTTAACGCTGAAGACAGATCTTTCCAGAGCTGGAAATCACCGTTTCGCTTCTGTCCTACGATTCTGAATAACGTTGGTTAATTCTTAACGTTCCAACAGCAACAATTGTTTTCTAACAATCGGCATTTCCAATAAGTATTTGCTTCCATTGCATCTATATTTCATATATCTCGGTTCGATATTTCCTTTTTCCTTCACTTTCTTTCGTTATACTACGACGGATACCAGGCTCGTTTCCTAAAGTACTCCATGCAAGAGAATCATTAGAAAGATCTATCCAACCGACATCTCCAACCGACGTTACAAAATCTTGGACAGAGAACGCCTGTGCGTTTAAACTTTTCAGCGTACTTGAACGTACATCCGTCAGTCTACGTTGGATCTTAACTGGCACATGTTTTTCGCTCCAAATCTACGACAAGTAAGAAAACTTCGACCTCCTCTCTCGCCCGTTTTCAGACGTGAAATTTTAGAATCGCGCGAAGACGGGGCTAAAATCCAATGAATATTACGGAGATCGTAACACCGAGGGGGGTAAGAAGAAAAAGACGAGAGGACGACGTAAGGGGGAGAGGCTTCTCGACCGTAAAAGCATCCGTCGACAGAGTCCCTTCTCCAGAGTTCGGTGCCGCGGCGACGCGCCAGACTAAAGGCCCGCGCGCACCGAGTCTCGAACGAGTCGGAAAGGCTTTGCCGTCTTCGAAAACGATGAAATTTCCTTTCCGCGTCGCCGTTCCTCTTCTCGTAGTCCGGCCGCGCGCTCTCCCGACCCATGCACGATCGATAACCCACCACCCGCGTACCCGCCATTACCGTACCTTCACCTCGTGGAAAATTTGGTACGCGGCAAATAACCCGCGGCCATCGTTCGTGCCTCTGCCGAATTCCCCTCTGCACACTGTTCCCCCCACTGGTCTCCCTCTTCAGATCTTTCTCTTCCTTCCTTTCTTCCTTCCTTCCTTTCTTCCCTTCTTGACGCGTCCTTTCCTTCAGATCAAGTGATTGTTCCTTCCTCGCGTTTCTTCTTTCTTTCTGAGTACGACCGGGTAGCATTTAGATCGCAAATATCACTTTTCCATTCTCTATCTTCGTCGTTTCTTCTCTCTTTCCTTTCGTTCCTGCGCGACAAGTAGCGTTTCAATCGTTCAGTTCTCTTCTTCGTTTCCTTCCTCTTTTTCCTTTCTTTATCTACTTGTTGCTTCCTCGCGTTTCTTCTATCTTTCCCTCCTTCTTCTCACCGTGAAAGGAAACGCATCCTTTCGTTCAAACGGGAATTCTACTCTCTTCTACGTTACCCTCCTCCCTTCCCATGCTTTTGTGTATCCACTCGTGCTTTCCTTCCTTTTACGAAAGACAGGGCATCCTTTCGTTTTCGAACCGTAAGTGTCAACGCAAGCGGGAAGCGAACAGGAAACCGCGGCACGCCGCCGTTCCACCAGTTCTTCTTTGACAGCCAGTTTACCCAGCCCTGGGTCTAAGGGTTCGGAATCCCTTAACCAAAGATCTCCGCGTTTCTCGTAAATTTCAATTTACCGCTCGTTCTCGCCTCGCAGCGAGCTATGACGCTCGTCGAATACTCGAACGAGGTATATCCAGGCGAGGAGACAGAGAGAGGGGAGTTGAGAAAACGATACCGGGTAAAGTCTTGCCTCGATAAAGTGAGAGCATAAGGAAGGAAGAAGCAGAAGAGGGGACGACGCGACGCGTCCCGTTGTAAGCCGAATCGTGTATCTCGCCGCGCGAAAGGATCAATCCGGCGCGAATCGCGAATCCGGGCTTCGTTGAATATTCTAAGCGGAGTGTCGTGACAGCTTCGGGGGCTTATCGGAGCAGGGGGGATGAATTTTTATCGCGACCGTGCGCGTCCTCGAAAACGATCGCGACAGGCGACCGTTTCCTCCGGACCTCTGGTCGAGATTAAATCTTCAGTCGGAGATTCTTCGCTGAGATCCGAAAGAGATAGCGATTCGATCGATCCCGCGCGACGCAGCCGCGAGTGTCGATTGTGTTCCGAGTTCGCGAGTGATTCGTATCTTACATATGTCAGTTATTTACACCGGTGCTCTGCGGTACGTTGGCCGAGGAATGACAAAAGAGACGGCTTTAACTATAAAACACAAAGTCACTGATGGATTGCGGATATTTATATAAATTCCGTATTTTTATGAATGCAACGCAGAGGAGGAGGAGGAGGAAAAAAAAAAGCTGAAAACCGGACAGAGAATTGATTTGGCTATTAAATCTCCGATAACGGATAGTTTCATAGCACGCTCGGTGGTTGAATCAGATTCGATTGAATAGTGTGCTCCTTTTCCAACGAGCTGTACGCCGAATTTTTAAACGTCGGATTTCTCTTTTGCCGGATATTTCATATTAAATACTGAATATCGAGTATTTCAGCTTCTCAGCTTTTCAAATATGACCGAAATGATATTTAGAGGAAACACGACCGTCGCGTCTTTTCACGTTTATTCGACAATCTTATGTAAAATTATTCCCTTTCCATATTTAAAGGACTCCGAGGGATGAGAGAGGCACAGTTCTGCCTGTGATATCATCGTGCGCACTGTCTGCGACCCTTAATGTCTTATCCCTAAACGGCCCAGTCGTAAATTAACTTAGATCCACCTTATTTTCCAAGAGATTCTCATATTCCCGGAATGTTCGAGTATAACCCAGCTTTAATATTATCACCTTCTTCTGTCCTCCAATTTTCTCGAGGTTGATCGACGTGGCTTAATTCCGAAGCAGGTCACGTCGTAAAAATTTCGGCACGACAACGAGATGCATCGACACTATTATTTTTAGAGAAAAGCTTATTTATTCTTGACAACGAAACTTCACCCTAGTGAAGCGGTTCGACGGGAGTTTATTTCGGTAGACTGATATCCGATAAAATCGTAGAAGTTTCGGCCGAATAATTTCTCCCCCTGTCGATTATTTATCAACCGAGGGGGGATACAGATTGAAGCACGACTTCAGTACGACCAGTCTAGTTTATCGGCTGCGATATGGGGGAAAAAAAAAAAAAGGAAAATGATCCAAGTTACAGCTTATTCCCAGACAGACAACCGTTATCAAACACTGTACCTTGCAGTACAGAGAATGAATTCATCCTTCTCCTGGTGGCAGGATGAGCCATAGGAAAACGTTTAACGTCGTTTGGATTTCATCTTTCTCTTTCTCTCGTTTCCGTCGTTAACGAGGAGGGACCCTTATCGTCGTTCGCGTAAATCGTGTTACAAAAGGAGCTTTTTATTAAAAAGTCACCAGAGACGGAGGCAGAGAGAGAAAGAGAAAGAGAAAGAGAGAGAGAGAGAGAGAGCAGCTGGGAGCGTGGATAGATAACAGAGCGAAAAAGGGAGCGATCGCGCGTAAAACGTTGTCGATGTGATTGCAGTTTTGCCGCAAGACGGGCCGTCGATAACCGGCGAGGAGAAGGTCTACGCGACCGGCGACGTCCTTGGGATGAACTGCACCAGCGGCAGTTCTTATCCAGCCGCGATCCTCAAATGGTTCATCAATGGGGAGCAGGTGAGAGAAAACGCCGCGAGTCGATGGTTCGACGCGCGCAACTTTGAGAAAATCGTCGTTGCCAGCTTTCGCGTCTTCGTCGAGGCACGTCGAGAATTATGTATATACACGCGTATATACAGGGTGATCCGATGAGAATTGTTATCTAATATAACAATCCCGTTTCTTATCCGATTGTATCGAAGAAATACTTTTAAATGAATTGACTCGTAAGATGGCTGCGATTCAACATCTTCTTCGTATTTTATACTTTTATGGTTCTTGACACTCGATAAATTGGACATTTATTTTAATTCTCTATTATAGTTGGAAGCTGCTATTTATCGAAAGATAGCAAACGGCTGAGAATCATAACGGCCTAAATCATTCTCATGACGTTTCAATTATATTCTATCTTTCGTTTGTTATATTACTGATTTCTTAATTGAATACCAAGTATTAAAATAAAGTACTGTTATTTCTTGGTAATTATACTCGATATAAGCTTTCGATGCTTGAAGTTATCGACTCGAATTATAAAAATGTAAATTTACATCACTACATACCTACATCTGGATTCGTAGTAAAATAAAATAGTCGATCATCCATCCAACGAGTACATCATATAATTGTGCATTGTAAATTCTTACCGACTCACCCTTACCGTCTCGGAAAGGAAGAATTTCCGGGGCAACGTCTGCGTCACCTTTTCCCTTCCTCGGAGACAGTGAAATACCGTAGCAAAAGTTTGGCCACCCATTTTCCTTGACACCTTGTATATGTACACACACACAAGTATACATACATATATATATATATATATATATA